CCAAGGGGAGCGTGGCCAYGCTGTCTGCATTTTCCCGGCCTCATTTTAAAGCTGCTCTCTGACTAGGTTAATTTTGCCAAATAATAAACTCAGAACCATAGGTCCCAAGTGAGAAAAGTTTCAAATTTCCTTTTCCTGGACACAGAGACAGGATTTCAGAAGAATTCCTTGCTACTCAGAACACAGTATTTGCAGCAGTATCTGTGAGGCATCTGTAGCTCAGCATGTATCGTAATACTTGAGTTTTCCTGGTAGACACGAAAACCATTTACTGGAATACCATTTTTTTCCTTTCCATACCATCTTTTCTACTCCAAGAAAAGTATTTCCATACTTTTGTATGAACGCCATACCCCTTTTGTATGAATCTCTTTGACTTCTCACCCCACTTGCTTGCTGAGATTTAAGAAACATTCTGCTGTAACCACCATGACCAAGACTTCTCTCAAGAGASGATCAAAGGCTACAATGGTCCACTGTCCGAGTAGACCTCTGCCATCATATCCCTCCCTCGCGTGAAGGCATCCTTCTTTCCCCAAGCTTCCAGGAGCCTTCAAAAGCCACCGCAGCAAATCCAAACAGACTGCAGCCATTAAAGAAAACACAAGGGCTTTTTCCATTTGTTAAGGAAGGGCTACCGTGAAATTATTGAAAAGGGTCAAAGCAAAATGTTAACATTACCATGGCAAAATCTGTTCTGCCTGAATGCCAACAAAACACCAAAGTGCTCTGCTCCYGAAAGGCTTCATCAACCTCGTACACAAGGAAACACTCCTATGCCCCAACCTTGCTGTAGGTAGAAAACGCACTGCATTCTCCTTTGGCCACAAATATTGACTCTTGTTATTGTGAAAAGGTCTTAAATAAGGACAGCTGAACACCTGAAGTACTTCAAAAAAGGAAAAAAAAAAAAAACAAAGAAGAAAGAACCCAAAATATATGTTTGTGATGTGACATTGCAAAAAAAAAAAAAAAAAAAAAAATCAGCAAGAGATCCTGTAAATCACAGGGATTGAACTTTACTGGCAAAGATCAAAGGCACATTTTCAAYAGTGGGTATAGAGAAAGGATTGGCTCAGCGGTGCAGAAACCTCTTTTTTTTGCAATGTGTGTTTCACTTGCAGTTCTACCCTGTCAAAYGCCCAGGGAACACTGGAGTAGCTAGTGGTCATTACATACACAGCCCAAGTCCTAAACTACACAGTACAATTGATCAAGAAATGSTACCAAACTTCAATAGCAGCATCAGAAAACCTCAAACTGCTTTCACCATATTACACCCAAAGATGACCTCCAAAAAAAAGAAACAATTTGTTAAGAAAAGTGCCAGTGAAGCCATCCAAGGCCAAARGCAGGAAATTTGCTAGATCATCTATTTTTTCCCTATTGCAGGGCAGCATAGCTGAGTGTTTTAACACAACCATCCACTTCCTTTTGATATTTGCAAAGGCCCTTTTCCACAAATTGAAACAGTSTGAATTTAACTTCTGAATTAAGAGTAGTGAAATACTGGGCCATGAGGAGAAGGGAAAGACGGACGCTGACTACATACTAATACACCAATGCATACTAATATCTTGTCTTATTTTAGCTAGTCTCCACAAAAATTTTCACTGATATGAACAATTGTTCAGCTTGACATTTCCCACCCCCTATTTCTGCAAAGGGCATTGACCAAGTTCATGGTCAATGACTGCAGAAAACGCTCTCTCCCGCAAGAGGACCAAGTCTAGGGTAGACTGATGCAGGAGCAAGAGCGTCAATAAGATGCCCTTGTCTACGAATGATTTACCTCCTGGGATCCGCAGAGACAAGGTGTTCGGGAAGCCTGGGAGAGGGAGCACTGGCGGGCGAGGGTGATGCCAAGGGTGATATAGGTGCCACAGGCTCTGGTCTAGCACCCGTTGCATTGCATCCACAGAGACAAAAACGCAGAAAAAGGAGTTTAATCCACGCTGAAACAGTATGCTCAACAGGAAAAAAAAAAAGAAAAAAAAAGAAATCTCTGCCACAACTGTTAGCACTGTGAAAAAAAMCCCTGAATTTTGCAGTGAAGCATAGAGGAGGTAAGATGAGATGCAATACACTTGAGACCTGGTGTGCTTTTAGCAGAAATCAAGAGTCCTAAAGCTTGTGAACTCCTTAACAGCCAAGCAGTGTATTTACAAAGATGAAACATGTATTCTGGATTAGTTTATATAGCAGGAAACTAGGAAATACWAGAAAACAACTCCCTTTTATGTATCTTTTTCTATGATTTCTTTAGAGTGTTAGCTTTGTGAGGGTCAGAATATGTACTCCTTAATATKTTTTTCCCTCTCCTTCAGTTTGTTCAGTTGTAGCAAGAAGAATCTRGAAAACACTGGGCTAAAGGCCCTCTCCTTGAAGAACACACATCTCAYCGCAATGTGCCAAGTGAAACAGAAGCCACAGAGGATTCACAACCACCAGTTTCGAGCAGCCTGATTAGCATGCAAGGTGAAGTATACTAATAAATAGGCAGACTTAAGAGTGCTGTACATAGGATGCAGATTTAGGAAGGACCACGAAGCCGACCTTGCAGGTGGTAAAGGTGTTGGTGGCAATTCTGATACAGGCGGCACCTCACAGGTCTGGGTGGCCACAGAAGTTTTACTCAGGTTAACAGAGGGCTCCTTGACTCCTGTTCCATTAGGCAAWTCTGCAGGCACGCTTTACAAATATTTACGATGTGGGGAGGAAAAGAAACAAGTCACATGATTTATGAGAGAGGTTATTTCGGGCCTGACCAAGAGTGGGACAAAAATTTTCCGGTGACAACAGATTAGCGAAACTCCAACGCTGGAAAACCCTGGCAAAGCTTCACTCAGGACGCAGTTGACTATGCAGTTCCAAGACCGAACCCAAATCRGTACTTGGTGGGTCAAAATGGTTAGAAGTGGTCAACATCAGAAACATGCTTGGAAATTGGATACTGTGGAATTATAACCAAACCATTTACTAAAACATGTAAATAAAYGTAAAAGCTAGAGTTTGCCTTTCCAAGCTTTCATTAAATTGTTCAAGAGGTGCAATTTACACACTCAGTTTCAAGGAGGGATTTCTATTTCAGTTTGCTCTCCTTCCAAATCTACACAAAAATCCACAGTAAGTTGCAGTTTAGGGGTAAATGAAACTAGAAAAATACATTAAAATTAAAAATCATAGAACATTTGTCTTGAACAATGCCTGAAAAGCTGGGATATTCAGAGGTAAATTACTGACAAGAGAGAATTTTCTTCTCTGTTGTTTAACAGTATGATAGCCTGCCTTCTAGCTGATCATATAACTTTAAACTTAATTGTTTATATAAAAAAAAAATTGTTTTTTCCCTCACAAGCCTTATGCAGTTAACTGTAAAAGGTGTGTAAGATATGATGTGCTTTGGTCCATCTTATAGGTGCAATTTTAATAATTTTAATTGTACTTTGTGCTGTGCGCTGTTATATATCCACATCAGTGACTGTTAGATAACTCGGCTGTTACCTGCAATCTTCATTTTCTGTTTGGCTTTTCCTAGAGGCAAAATGACAAACACAGTAAGCTCCTACTGTATTCCAACATAAACCAGCTGAAAAGGAAAGAAACAGCTGCAAACAGCTCACACCATAGGTCTCCCCTSCTCTCAGCTTTGAGGCTGTAAAATAACACAAAATACCCCTCTGTATGACCTCRAGTGTTTGTAGCAAACACTGATCTATTCACGGGACTCTTCTCACGTGAGTACTTCATGCAATACTGGGTTTAAGGCAGTCACAATGAGTGGACTTCTAAATGTGCTTTACATCTTGGAAGCTTGAAATTTTTCACTATATGTTGCAGACTGACAGTGAATTTCACTTAGCAGAATTCTGACTCCTGTCATATCCCCAGAGTCAGTCGTTTTCTTGCTTTCTGCAAACCTTTGTGTTCATTTTGAAAACATAAAAATATATATTTTTAATCCAATCAAGATCCCCTCTGCTCTGATATCCTTGTACAGTTYAGGTTATTTCTGCTGTGCTGCAGGAATGATTACTTCTCCCACTGCAATCTGCAGAGCTTTTACAAAACTATAGGTCTTTGCAAGAAATGCCTCTGCTAAGGAATCRAAAGATGCAAAAGAAAAAAAAGAGACAGAACTAAGTTAAAAGCAGCTTTTATTAAAATACTCTTCAAGCTTCAGAAAGCATAAATTAACGAATATGCAGCTACTATAATACATTATTTTACAGGAGAACCACAGGGCCATGAAGCTTTTATGAACACAAGAAATCCTAAGAGCTTCACTCTGAAATAAATAAATACCRCCGTCTTATCTTACTCTTCTTAGAGGTTATATATTGAAGCCCTTACATGTACACAGCAACATCCTGCTCCTTTTTTTTTTTTCTATTTTTTTTTTCACTATATGAACAGGTTAGTTGTTTCAGCAGCAGGCTCCTTGTATTGAATTTGCACTAAGAATTTGCACAATACTGGCAAATTTCTTCTTGCTCAAAAGCAGCCYGTCTTCGCGCTCTACTTCATAAAACATTTACAACCACTTGAAACTGGCCTGCTGAAAAGCTAGTGAACTGGAACAGCATTATCCTGTCGAGTACAGTAGTTTGCAATAAGCGTGTAGAATCCCTYCTCTTCTACTCCACTCCCAAATCTGAACACTGCCATTTCTTGATCTTTTGTTGTTTTCTGCTTTCTAACAACCTACAGTAACTCAAACTCAGCAATGCAAATGACTCCTTTAAGGCAAAAAATAAGAATTGCAATAGCCATCTCCTCCCCACTTTGGAAGATTTAGTCACCCGAGTCGTAACGGGTTAAACATATTTTTTGTCAACTAGTGATCAGCACAAAAACATTTTCATCTCTTTTTTTACACATCAGTAGGAAAGTGTTAGAAAAGTATAGAAAAAGCTAGAATTTCTCTTGTAGTAAGGCTAGTGAAATAAGTTTTCTTTTTTCTCTCTTTTTTTTTTTTCTTTTTTTTTGCAAAGCAGTTGGAAAAGAAGAAAGGAAGCCAGTGTTTATTACTTTGCTTTTGCAACGTGGGCAAAATCACTGGACATTAAGAACACGTGCTGAGACTTCATGGTGCCAGTCACGTAATTTTGTGTATTTGGGGCTAAAGACGTGGCTGGGAATCTTTTCCCTGTGGAAAGAAGTGATAGAAGAGAAATAAGAAAGAAAGAAAGTCGGTCTTGGAGCAGTTTCACAAGTGCATGGAAGCATGCAAAGGCCATGCACCACACTCATCCCAGCACCTCCTTCCCGCCTTTCCAGAGGACTGATCCAGTCTTAAACAAAAATCAGTAGAAAGATGCCCAAGGACTGCAACYGCCAGCCAATTTAGCCTCTGAGCAGTTTCCCCTCTGAACACTGCATCTAATCCAAAGCAGCCCGACAGCTGACACTCGTACACCATCTAGAMCGGCAACACTTCCCAGTTATATCTTGCAATCTGACCCATGCTTGCAAATCCAAAAATGYCTGGTTAGATGTCGGAAAAGAAAACACACTGACAAGCTGACCTCATAGAGAAAACCAAACCAGCCCGAGTTTATGGAAAAAGCTCAAACTCCTGGGCAAACATGAATACTGGGCTGCACAAACAGAGGTTTGAAAAGGCTGCTTTATGAAGAAAAATATCTCAATTTTTTACATGCTGAAATATGAGGCAGAAAACAAGCAACACTTGGAAAACACCCAGACTTTCAACAAGGGCACCAAACAGTAATGCATTATCAGTTAAGAATTAAGACGTGCACTATATTAAGGTAAAGGTAAGGTAAAGAAAAAAAGGAATATGTGACACTCACTTAGTCTTCTTTGCAGACTCAGGTTCTGGTTCTTTCACTGCAATAAAACAGAAAAATTTCATTTTCTATGGAATTAAGTAGTACCACTAAATGCTATCCTCCCTCTGCCATACTGAAGCATTCCCCACACTAGGAAATTACAACATGGATCACTGGGAAAGGCRTAAGAAGGAGTGTCAAGAGGACAACAAGTGGCAGCTCAGAGATATGCCTTTTGGAGGAACATGCAGGAGATTTACATCAGATGATAATCCCAGTATCTGTACACAGCCATCATCATGACCCCACCAAGGCACTGCAGAACTCCTATGGGATAAAACTGCGACAGGGAATTCACGGAATTTATATTTAATCTGACAAGTGGGGCTGCAATCATGTTCCTCTATTACTTGTCAATATGATTAATTCACWCTGTAAGGGAACACTGACACATTTGATGCTCAGGTCTCTTATTTTCTTCTTGAAAGGATGAGTACAGTCCCAAGAGAGCTTAAACCCTCATTAAACAGTTTAGTGCAAGGCAATTCCATGAACTGCCTGATTTCAGATCTAACACAYGAGCCCTTTTGTGGGGAGAAGAGCACCAGCCTCTGGAGTAACACTTCCAGTCGGCTCAGAGGGGATTTAATCAGCCCTGTTCCCAGGATGGGTCCAGTTTTGTCATTGCTTTCTTTTAATATTAGCTGTGAAAAGCACAGGAATGAAACAACCACCCACATATCAGCTACCAYAGCCCGAGCGTGACAGAGGTCATATGTGTGATGGCATTTTTGATAGATTTAGCCAGCCTTCTGACCTCTGCCAATAAATTACAAGAGACAGCACGATATGAAATCAAAGCTTTTTTTCCATAAGACAACTGGGAAGGACTTCTGCATCACCACCTCTACTCTTTAGTACATGGAGTCATACCACASCACAAACAGACGATGGAGACATTTCCATGGAATATGCTGAGGAGCTAGGAGTCCRTGTTGCTGACCAGTGAAATCATTGCACGTAATAAACCTCTGTATGACCCACAAGCATTTTCTGCATGCCTAGGGAAGCCTTAGAGCTTTTCTAATGGCTTTCTGGAGTGTTAATTCAGAATAGGAGCGTCCCCAGGGCAGTGATGTGGAAGGAGAGAACAGTAACAAATATATACTTTCTGCCAAAGTCTTTGGGAACAGAAACAACAGCTTGGGGCTTATTGAGAATGCATTAACATCCAAATGGGAATAACCCCAAGTGATGCAGCTGCAAGAGATTCACAAATATATTTTCCTATTCCACAGCCCCCTGAATCATCTTTCTTTCAAGGAGCGCACCAAACCTGTGCCTGGTGGACTTATGAGCCGAGATGGGAAAAATCCTAGAGGTGCGATTAAATCGCTTTCTCCTTTTTTCCCCTCCACTGTCTTTCAGAAGCACTTCTTATTGCCCACGGCTGCTCTTTCGTTAGCAGCAGGCTACTCACTGTGGTCGGTGCCGGTGATCTGGGCCAGGATGCGGAAGGAGCGCGACTGGGTGGTTCCCGTGCGGGGGTGCCAGTCCTCCGTGTCCTCGATGAGCCGCTTCTTGCTGGCATCGCTGTGGGTTGGAGCGTGGTAGAACTCAGTGTAGGTGTCCACGATGTGCTTCCGCGGCGGGCTGCGGCCAGGAAAAYGGGGAGAAATCAGAGAGGGAGAAGCTGAGCTGGGCAATGCCACCACGTTTAGGACAGCTGCAAGGACACACACGGACTGGGGCTTGCCACGGTATCTACAGGCAGCTCCTGCCACGCAGGGAACGCCACGGATTCAGCTCTGGGAACCAAGAGGGGATGCGGAATTGCTCCAATGCAACTAAAAGGTTGCACCTTGCTTCACTACTGCAACTGTTTAACCGGGGCGGTCAATTTTTAACAAGACTAACAAATTTAAACTTTTACCGTTTGGGTGGGTTTTTCCTTGGAGGGGACAGAATAAGACAGCAAGAGGAGCAGTTTTCCCAGCAAAAGCAGGAAGAGGAGAGAAAAAGAAAACAAGAAAAAAAAAGTAAGAAACAAAAATGTGGCTGAGCTATTCTATTCAATTAGTCTTACAAGAAAGCACTGAAATCCAATTAATAGTGTTATTCTGCTGCCATTAAATTCCCATTCTTTCAATTAATTCCAATTTTTAAGAGAGCTACATACCAATAATGAGAGGATCTAATATAGACAGGTATAATATTGTTTTGCTTGTTTTCACAAGACAGGGCTGTATATTTAGTTGTGGTTATGTTAAAAGCCCTGGACAAACCTTGTCCTCTTTGTTCACAAAAGGCCAAGCCCTTGGCTGTGTGCAACAGCCAACTACACGGGATGCCTTTTGCAATTAGTAAGGCTGGGATCCAAACTGACTATTTTGAAAATACAGGATGGTCTGAAGCACAGGATGGAGGTATCGATGCTCCGTTCCCTCTCAAAAAGTCAAAGGCATGGAGCCATTATTCACTCTGGAAATTYTTCCCCACAGTATTCCATATGCTGTTACGAAGCCCTGAGCTAGCAGCTTACAAGAATATAGGGCTTTAAAGCTTTGCTTTCACTAACTGATGCAAAAATCCATGTAAGAGCACTGTTCTGTTTAGAAAGGGGTAGGCAAAACTAATACTATGTATCTTATTTCCCAGTTCCACCTTAGTTATCTCAAAGCATTCATCTTAAAAACTTTTTACACGTGTATTTACTTTGACAAGGCTTACAGAAGATTAGCTTTGCTAAACTACCCCCAAAGACCTAATAATTCTATTTCAAAAAATGAACTAATTTCTACTGTCATTATTTCCCCGCTCTATCTTTAAAGTCTAAGGTGTTTCTGGTAGAGAAAGGTGAGATTCAAAAATGAGACTGAATTATTGATTTGTCAGAAAGGACAAATCAATAGGATGTATTAGAATAGTCAAGCAACTGCTTCCCAAAATCATGTGAAAAGTACCACACAAAATGATAGCAGAGGGCCAAATTTACTAGAACCGACACATGATATTAGTGAAGTACTTACACCTCAAAGTTACTGGTGGAGGGAGGGGTAGAGAAACAAGGACAGTGGCATTCCCAGGATGGAGGACAAGCAAGGAGCACAGACAAAAAAATGAAGTAAAGCAACATAACAGTTAATGAAAAAGGAGAAATTACGAAAATTAAGGCAATAAAGTTGTCGAGTTACAAGGAAATGTAATCATTCACATGCATTGATGCTATTTTAGCTCCTTACAGACCCTACTGTGTCCTTTCCTGAAGCTGGTAATGACTTGAGGAGGCAACAAGGTGGTGCCAGAGGCAAAGGAAAATCAAAGGACACAGGCGCTCCCGGAACTCGATCCACAGCCATGAGGGCAAAAGCCAAAGCAATGAAACCTCAATCATATCTATCCTCCCCTAATACATATAAATAATAACATATGGAAATTACACATCTTTTGGTGCTCGGCTTTGATACCTAGTCTTTCGCCCAAGCTTAAAGCGATAATGTTTTAATATTGTGCTTCTCTTCTCTGCCAGTGTTCCTACTGTAGTAGGTGCCATAGGTGCGGCAAGATTTATCAGTACACACAACTATCACACAAAACTTCTGTGGAATTTAAAAAAAAAAAAAAAAAACAGTTGCAAAATTTAACACAGTGAGAAGCCAGATCACACCATGCCCAATGCAGACCAAACCATGTACCRCATTAAGAAGTTGCTAAAAGAGCCGAAGCGGTTTTGCAAAATTTATATTTAGAACTCTATGAAAGCTATAATTTTGCAAAACAGTAATACATGCTGGCTATTTCGACAAGAAAAAACCATCATAATTCAACTCCAGTGCTGTTGATACTAACTTTGTCACTGTTGTTATCTGCAAGGGAAAAAAAAAAAAAAGTATTTCATATGTTAATGCATTCTTTGCTTCTTGAAATTTTTTAGGATCTTCCAAATCCAAGCTTTGCTAATGCCACATATCATATGGAGTCAAACTTAAAGCTACCAAAAAGCTGTAAGTGAAGAATTTAACCAACAAACACCAATCTTAAATCAAGTCACATCTGTGGACATCTACCTCTTGTAAGCAGCAGGCACATTTTTATGCAGGAGCTGTCAAGAAGGTCTTGAAAAAAGCAAAATTGCAGCTAGAAAGGGTCCTTCTTTTTACTTTTAAAGCCCTTCTAAGCCAAGACTGAGCAAGAGAAACAGATGTTCCTCCCTTTTTCTTTTATTTTTTCCCTCCCCTTGCCCCACAGTCTCCCAAGCCACGTTTTCAGAATATGTGTTTTTCCCAAGTCCGCAAGGAGGATATCTGAGCTGTTATCCTGCAGAAAATAAAGACTCTACTCAATGAACTACAGGCAACAGATTTTGCACCGGTGTTTCTAGCCGCTGCGGCAATTCCCAATCTGCTAAAACATGGGGATAAATCAGGTTGGCCTGTGCATTCCTGTGACACGGCCACAGATCTCACGTACGCAGCTCAATAATGCACAGTTTCACTTCAATCAGGCAAGCTCTCCAGAGGCTAATACACTTTTATCAATTAACAAAAGCTATCAGTACCTTTTTTGGTGATAATAACTTTTTTTAAACTAAACACTGCTTTTTACCTACTACATGACAAGCAGACCTCTGCAAAGTCCAGGCAAGTGGCTCTGGTTTTTATCAGGAATGAACAACCAACCAGAAAGTGGTTTAAGCACAAACAAGTTTGTTCAAACTTACAAAAAACAACCCCTAAAAAACAAAATAAGAACAACAAAAAAAACCTCTTTTGCTCATAGCTAGAGCAGTGCTCTGTAAGTACAACACCAAAAACGTATCCCTGTCTCTCAGGTATTTCCAACTCTCACCACTGTATGTGGTGAATAATGACTTGAGAACATGTTTTGCAAGCAGTGTGTACAATTCTAGTCTAAATAGGTTTGCAAAAAGAACAGTAAAATCTGTTATTGAATCACTTTCCTTTTTTCTTAAGAAAAATTAAAAGCAAAGAAGTGGGCTTTCTTTCAAAATGATCAACTATGCCAAATTTGAATATCTCACAAATATCATAAATTCCACTTCAAACAGAGAGGTAAGTATCACTGTGCAACCGCAATAAGTAATCACTTGGGCAGCTGCAAATGAATATATCCCTTTTCCTTCTGCAAATCATCTCCACAAGTGCTGCCAGCATCGTAGTGTCTCATTCCCAGGCAGGGTGAATCCTCCTGACCTTCCTGACGAGCTGCTCCACATTTCTGAGTGCCTGCTGCTTGCTGGGACCCAAAACCCACAGCGGGACAGGGATGCTGACGCAAACACCGAGCTTGCTGCAAGGTCCACAATGCATCAAGGCGCAAAGGGTCCTGCAAGAAGCACTTGGTGGCCTCGTGCAATTTAAGTTAGTTTAGCATCTGCTGGATTTTGCCCTTAATAAGTTGCAAGAGCCGGGAACAAGGGCTCCCCCCAGGCCGGCTCTGCAGAGGGCCGGCTCGCCCCGACGCGCTCGGCTCCGCGTGCAGCAAGCCCGGTGAGGAGCGCGGCGGCGCGCGTCCCCCACCACGGCCACCTACCCGTTCTGCAGCTTACTGTCCCCCGGGGCGTCCCCGGGGGCTCGTCGCGGCCCCTCGGCCGCCCGCTGCTCGGCACTAGCACTAACATGCAGCCCGGGCGCCACGCGGGGGCTCGGGGCGGCCGGCGGAGGGGACACGGGTGACGGGGCGAAGACGGAGGACGGTGACGGGACGGAGGTGGCTTTGGAGCACGTGGCTGCCCCGAAGGGCCTCGGTGTCTTATTGAACGCCCCAGCGGCCGGGGACACGGCTTTGGGTGCGGCGGGAGAGGCAGTGGGCTTAGCTACCTCCTTGGGTTCGTCCTAGGGGAAATAAATAAGACAAGAAACACACAAAACCACAGCAAACACATGCAATGTTCCTGACAGGGTACTTCTGCTGGTAGGAGAAACCATGGTGTTCTCAAGCACAGGAATGGAGAGATAAAAGCCATGCATTGTAGCTGAGGGAAGGAGCCRGGCATGCAACCCCACGATGCTGGGGTCATCCTGAGAGGCTCTCGTGATGTCCAAGAGRCACATGCCACAAAAGCCAATGTAGGACAAACTCTACTGCAAGATCCACTGGACAGTTCCTGCACAAAACATTAATAGGGGTTTTATAAAGCTACCTTCCATCTCTCAAACCCAACTATGCATGTGCTCTCCATAGAGAGCCACATACATCGTTTATAAGGTGCAACATATATTTGCAACAAAAACATATGGGGAATAAAAACTATCTAGTTTCTACAATTATTTTGGGGTGGGGGTATGAGGAAGCAAACTTTTGTTTTGTTTTCTGTCTCAGAGAGACAGTATTTAGAGCAAGAGCAGATGAAAACAAATTGTTTCCACTCATACCCTCCAGCTCTTTCCAGATTATCCAAGAGCTTTTGTTAAAGCTTTCCAGCAAGGTGATAGGCTTCAAGTAGCACAGTGGGGAGGCAGCAGCTGCGAGTGAGAGACAACTCTCACCCCACTGATGTTCAAGTTTGTCGAGTTTCTCCCTAGATTGGGTGCTGTGTGTTGGCAGGGGAAATTCCCCAATCTATTTTAGCATTTGAGAACATTCATTCATATTAAAGCTGTACAAAATGGATTTTATATTTACCCCGTCAGATCAAAACCCTCCAAAAAAAAGCAAATCTTCTGATGTTTTTGCTGGGAGCTTTGCTTTAGCAGTGTTCCCAGACAGTAGCACTGACAGGTTTGGAAAGAGCTTACCTAGTAAAAAGGATCAGTAGCTTTAAAAGATAATCAGAAAGCTGGAAGACAACATATTTACTTGCACCTTTTCAAGGACAGTCATTTGWCAGATTTCTCAAATCTTTTGGAAGAAGTGTACTACTGCTGCAAAATTTGAATGGCATATTATATTGAAAGGAAAGTTCGAAGGACAGTTCTCGTCACTGACAGGGTTTGACAGATGGGTAGCAGTTAGTGCCACATGCTGCATTTCTTGGCTGTTGATAGTCAACATACCTTTTGTACATGAATGGTGGGATCAGGTTTTGGTGCAGTCACCACTCTGCAAGAAAACAAACACATTATTTTAAAAACAAGTTCCKTCATGGTTAAGTATCTCCCTCTTCCAACACTCCACGTCCACCCACGGCTGTATGAATTATGTTTTTATTTTCCTTCCTTAGAAAGGAACAAAAATTATTCATGTTGAGCCTATGACACTGTGGTTAACACCGGATAAAAGCACAAATAAACAGTAGGAACCCTAACATTTATCAGCAAGTACTATTTGATTTATATTAAAATGATATCATACCATTGGTTAAGAGACATTAGCTGAAATCTGCGTTTCTTCCCTACATATGAAACTGCATCATGTAACTTAAAAGGCCCAGGCAGAAAAMCTGAGCTTTAACAGAGCATAAACTTTATTCAGGCTTTAAAAGTTAAGTACAACATTCACCAAATTCCTTCCCAAAGACTGTTATCCCATTAAGCAATATGCAAACTTTCTGCATTATGTTGAGTCTTCAAAGGTAACTCGAACTCCACAGTAGATAGCAAAAAAATTCCTGCCAAACAAAGAGCGCATTGACACTACTGCAGGTGGTGGGAAGCAGAGGAAATGGAGTACTAGGAAGGACAAAGAACGACCAACAAGTCTTGTTACACCAAAATCTGASCTGGTAGCACACCATGGGTAAAATGTTTTCCTTTACAAATTAATTAACTCTGAGGTTGCAAGGGATGAGATTGCACTATATTCATCTATGCAGAAAGGTCTTTTTGTGCACAGCGCTATTTCCAAGTGATATGCACACATATTTTCACTTAAAAATCCATGTTTTAAAATACCATAGAAAGGAAAGTTAGTGATAACAGAAGATTGGGAACATTTTGGTTAACATTTGGAGTCAGACAGCATACCATTCCTTTATTTCTCCCAAACATACTTGAAACGAGGACATAAATTTGCGTGTCCCAGACATACTTGAAACAATTTTACTTGGCCTTGTTGACTTCAGACCATAATCAGACTACAATCTGTGATTTATCCAGGACCGCATACAGAAAATGCTCACCCAGCAAAGCGAGCCACCAAGATCTGAACGTGAAAAATGTGTGGCGGTGAGACAAGACAGTGCAAAAGGAAATGCAAAGTTCAAGCTCAAAGGCAAAGTGCATCCCACATACACACTCTTAGGAAAATGCTTCCTTCAGAGATTACAGGCTCTTTTATTAAAAATGAGTACTACTACTCTTAGGTTTGTGATGGATATCAGTAGTATAGCAAGGCAGAAAACCAATTTAACTGCAGACCTTTTTTTTTGGCCCATTTTTTAAGTGGGCAGTAGATGGCATCCCACCTAGTCTATCCTGAGACAGGATTTAGTGCTGTTTTGGTTAACTCATTCCTTACTACTCATTAAAAAGGYAGGATGGCTTGGAGCAGAAAGGCAGCTTCTGAATGACTTAAAACCAGCAGCTGAGGAGATTAGTTTATATAATATTCTAAGTAGCATACACAAAAAAAGACATTAGGAAGACCAAAGCTTGGCGTAAGTGCTTATTATAAACAGCACACACTGGAGATGCTGGCAAATTACAGCTGTTTGAGCTCCGGGCTCCAGTCCTGAGAGTTATGAGACCCAATGCAAATACCAGCAGCATCCACTCCTTCTGACAACCCTGATACCGAAAATGAAAGTGCAGGCGGTGCGATTTTTACATATGCCCCGCCAGCATGCCTTGTGTCTCCTTTCAAATAAAGAGTGCTATATTTAGGCGATGTAAACCATTTATTCAGACCAGACAAACACAAGAGGATCTGCTCTGTAAACATCCCCCAAGCCGGTCCTCCATGACAAATATTTTTGGGGCATTTAGTGCAAATCAAAACATTCCAGCTTCCTGTGCGGCCTTATTAGGAGAAGAGACTGGTCTGCGCCCTACTGCAAGCAACCCACCAAGCAAAGGCTATTCATTCTTCAAATTCTCGCTTTAGTCATTTCCTTTCCAAGTATTTTACCCATAAAAAAACATGCCAACCAATGTAACAGGATCCTTTGGTAATTTCCCAGAAAAATCTAKCATAAAAGCCAAAGTTACAGTWTTTCATGCTGCCAAAGTTACAGTATTTCATGCTACTGTAGAGGATGCAGTTTGGTTTGCCATCTCCAAACACAGACCATCAGCCCAAATGCTGTAATCTCGAAGGTCAGTGTTACGGAACCAAACCCAACATAAAGCAAGATGCTTTGGATGAGTCTCAGCTGACCTAAAAATCCAAAAAGCTTCATGAAATCCAGACTCCCAAAGACATTCCCAAGTTACATGTCATGCAGGTCCTTCTGCCCCTTCCTAAGACTATATTTGGGTTACAACTTCCCAAGCAGATGCAAAACTCGACGGAAAAATCACAGGGAGGTAACCACATTTATCAGCATATCTACACAAGGAATATACAATACCATTATTAAACGTAAGTATTCAGGTTTTTCCCATCTCACTATCTTAAAGGATTGTTCATAAAGTTAACCTGAGATACAACAGCAACAAATTGCACAAATCTTCACTCCTAAGACAAAATTCGGGCTCAATTCAGGGTTAACACAGCATTCTGCAAGACTTCCCTCCCTTCTAACAGGAGGAAAAGAAGAAGGATCTCCCCAACACATTCTCAAAACCAAATCCCTTTTCTCCTATCTGATCAATCAGGATATAGTTTTTGACAGTAGGTATTATATTCCTGAGAAGCTACTGGTCTGATCTTCTTTCTGAAAATCTGATCCTTTAATGGCTTTGCCATTTCAGTCTACAACTCTGGTTTTTTGCTTCGCTTTACTTCGAGACAGCAGTCAGCTGGTAGAAAGCTAAAGACATTTGCTTTCTGAAAATCTGCCAACTCCCATGAAAAAAATATGACAAGCAGAAAACGTTTAATGTATATAACAAGCTAGGACTTTTACTAGGGGTTATCTGAACGAAAACAAACGCAGATGTAATTTAAAGCAAAGAAAAAAGAGCTCTCCAGATATTTCTTTCCCTAGACCAAAACCCTTTAGCTATTACAGACATAATTCATTTCTTACCAACCTTGTTCTGGATTGCATTCTTTATAGCTTTCTTTTTCTTATGTCTACATTAGCAGGAACTAGTGCCTTACAGGCACTAAAAACTCGAGCAACCCACCAGGCAGTAACACGACATGTAACTACAGTTTGGACAACAAGTTTTGACATCGATTTGCTTTTGCAAAGCCCAAAAGCATTTTAGATACTAGACAGATTAAGAAGTCTCCCTACTAACCTCACTTCTATATATAAACCAAACTTTTCACTCCAAATGCACTCTTGCTCCTATTGCCCTACAAAACCAATTCTCTCAGGATTAAGAAAAAAAATATTGAAAAGCATTTTTAGAGATGCTCAATTTATATCTGAAAAATAGTCAGATGAACAAYTTTAAGCAGCTTTAAAGCCTACTCTAAAATAACGTGTGTTCAGACTTTTGGTCTTCACATTCCTCACTGAGATGCATTTAACAGACTATGCCGAGAATACTGGTGTTTTCTTTTCCTGACAGAAGAATATGTGCTCATATACCAGAGGTGGTATATATATTGTTATATTTAGCCCAGGAATATWAGCCTGTGAATCACTCTCAACTGAGTTTAAATTTTCAGTAAGTTTAAAGATGGGGATTGAATATCATGTAACACAGCATAAACCCAATGTGAAATACCGACATGTAATACCTTTAAGCCCTTATACCACGCACTCTCATGGACATCAGATTATGATCAGGTAGAAGCAAGAAAAAATATATTCTTCCTTTATTACTCCTTCAATACTCAGCCAAATCGATCCGAGATCCTCCTCTTAAATTTTAACGTGGTCGGGGATTTCATGATTAAGTGTTAAAACAAACCACGCTGACATTTTTAGGGAGGACGAAGCTACCTCTCCTTCGGCGCTCCCACCCACAAAGGAGTGCTTGTCCTGGGACCTCCCTGGGGCAACCACCGCTCATAGTCTCATTCCTGCGGTCTGCGGCAACCCCTACTGAACACATTTGTAAAGAGAGTTGAAAGGCAGGCACACAATATTTTATTCTACTAAAACAAAACCATACACAAATCAAAAAAAAAAAAAAAGAAAAAAAAGGCGAAGGAAATATACCTTCTCCCTGACAAAGACTTTTTAAAATATGCTTTTAGCCTCCATTAAGGTTGAAGAGGCTTAGGCACCTAGAAACCCCATGGACATGACCCAATCTCCTCTGGGAGAGGAGGCTCTCTGGTTGGGCTCTATGGTCTTGAAGGTCTTTTCCAGACATAAGGATTCCATGATTCTACTTCATCCAACTGGATGATGTGACCACTAGGACCTGAAGCCAACCAAGACCAAAACTGCTGCCTTGCCAAGCAGCCATGTCTATACAACACTCAGATGCAAACAAGATGACATAAAAAGTGACCTTCAGCTTCTGTACCCTGGCTTATAATGAAGTGGACATTATATGCTTAATGTCTTTGAAAGTGTTTATTAGATAGCAATTCTAACACAGCAAGCTACCATTTAAAAATAGCGAGCTTAATAAAAAACATAGGTCTAAATGACTCGCAGACCTAGTCATTCCTCCAAAACCCTCAACAAAAATGCTGGACTAAGTGCTGACTTCAGTCTGTCATTGAATCTAGGTTATAATTTAGAAGATTTAATGTACTAAATTATTTTTTCCAGGGCTTTCCACCATATGGTGACTAAAACTGTATTTATATTACCTCCTTTGTCTAAAACACAGCTCAAATGAGCTCAAAAGTGCAGCCACATGCACTCTAACAGGAAATCATCACGACAACTCATCTCCTCAAGGCCCAACATACCCTTATTTGGAAGGGATTTCATAACTGCATACCTTGGAAAGATCATTTATACCAAGTTCCTGTTCTCGCATGAAGTAACTGGCAACTTATACAGGCGTTAGATAATGGTATTTCAGTAAAAACATCTTCTCTGCTCTGTGAAGTAGCTCACCATTCATGGTTTTATGAAGAACTAT